CCGCGGCGTTTGCAAAGAGTGGCGCAAGATCATCGACGACACCGCCACTCTCTGGCCCCCACTGGTACACGGCTTCGGTTCTGAGATGGCCGAACGTGCCATAACGCTTTCGAAACTTGAACCGCTCTCAATCAACATCCGCTATCAACCCTGGGATGATTCACATGCCCGCGTCGCTGAGCATCTGCAGCGTGTCAATGAATTCCAAGTGGAAACGGACGACTGGGTCACTGTCGAAAGATCGCGACTCGCCCTCAGGGCATCGACGGCCCCAGAACTCAGGTCTTTCTGTATGTGTGCTTCCTTCGACAACTTGGAGGGACACCGCAGAGCGATACTAGATAACGACATACTTCAGGCCACACCACCACGGAATCTTCAGATAGTCAGCGTCTATGGCTGTACCATCATGCTACCTTCTCCTCTATTCACGTCCTCGCTACTTAGTCTGAGGGTGGACCTTTGTGACGTGTGGCGCAACCTCGATGAACTAGTCGACACCTTCTCGGCTCTTCCACTTCTGACCACGTTCGGATGGGACATGTCATCAAGAGCACTATTCAATACCGACTCCCCCGTGCGATTCGAGAAATCAAACTTCCTCGTATCAACACGGCAACCTATCGCTCTTCCCCACATGAGTGCCCTTGAGCTCGCGTGCCCTGCGGCCTGCGCCGCGGCTTTGATGCACTTCCTTGTCATACCTCCGTCCTGTCAGGTTCGCCTTACGGATGGCTCTACCCTATCGGACGTAGCTATTGGAGATATTCTGCCACGAGAGGAAGTCCAAGCGTCTCTGACGGCATCGGTGGGAGACCACATATCCCGCACATACCCCGCACACACACACACCGGATACCATTACGTCTCCATCACAACAGATGAAGACTCGATCCCAGGGCCTGGGGCTCTGCTGATCGAGGGTCATCGAATGGTGGACCGTCCAGAGGACCGCAACACCTATCCACGTTGCGACATAGCACTCTTCGTCCCAGAAGAGGACGAGGACCCCACTGTGTACAGCGACACCCTCGCGCCCATCCTTGACGGTATTTTTCAATGGCCGTTCATGAATGTCACGACATTCCGCCTCGAAATCGATCACATAGGTTTCTCTAGTCCGGCGTCGTGGAATGCCGTACTCCGTAGCATGTCTCAGCTTCGCCACGTCTTTCTCTCCCGTGGTTATCCCGATGCGTCCGATGCGATTTCCGGCTTGGGCCAGGCACTTGGCGACCATCTTGACCTGGCCCCGAACCTCACGCATATCGAGCTTCACATGTTATCTTTCACTCCTCCACGTCAAGAGTGCTTGGCCGAGGCTCTCGGGCGGCGTCATATGTCGGGGCTTCCACCCGTCACTCTTTACGTCGACGAGTGCGATGACATAGGCCCTGATGGCGGGCTAGAGGACATACTACGCGTTCACGCCGATGGTGCCGTCCATCTCGAGCTGTCACGGAGGACGCACGGTCGAGGACCACGAGAGATCACATACAGCAATAGCTCCTGAGCGGCACGGCACGGCGCCACACCCGGCGCGCGCGGGAGGGCGCGGCCAGATGGTGTTCGTTTTGCGCGCCTCGACCCTCTCTCATTCGTCTCACCGTCAGTTCTGACGGTCAACACAATCATTCACCATCCACTACAACCTACACCCCGGGCCTGGTACCGCCCGCTCATAGTTTCCAAGGATCACTGTACGGGCGCGCGCCGCGCGCGCGTCTCCTCTCCCGCCATCGTCCTTCCCGACGCTTCGAGTGGCAGATTACTACAATCGACACTCAACCGCGTCTTTCTCATCTTGTATCGTGCGCCTACGTACAATGCGCCTGGCATCAGCGTGACGTTTGCGCGCCGGTCGAGCACACCGCGCAGCTTCACGCGTGCAGACCCCATATCTGCTTCCGCGAACGACGGTCATCGCGGGTGCCACTAGAATGGTCATGAAAGCCGGGGGCAGGGCGGCTTCGCGCTGCCCCATTGCGCCGCCTTCACCCTCACCGGCGCGTATAGTCCGTGTACGCGCCCACATACACCTATTTCTGCATGTTTGACTCGCCTCTATCTTTTGCTGGTGCTCGAGTATAGCGTATATTGTTTCTCTCATGTACATATTTGCCACCTCCTGGCCGTATCGCTCACTTCGGCCCGCAATGCCACCGGGCACCGTTGGACATACACACACCTAAGACGGTCTCGCCGATTAGTCGCATCTACACCGAGGAATATGATTTCTTTCCCTAGCGCGCCTGCGGCCTGCGAGGGCCCACATGATCGTGAGTATTTTGATGGATGTAAGACGCGTGGTTCGGTCCCCGCTCACATACCTGTTCTCTCGAACGGCCACGACATTTCTAAACGCACAGCACCGAGCCGTCGCCGCTAGACGTCGTCTGGGCAGTCTGGGTCCTGTCGCCTGCTCTTGCGTCATTGAGCAGTCGTTCTTTCTTCTTTTCTGCCTTGCCGCCTTTCCTGCCTTGCCGCCTTTCCCGCCTTGCCGCCTTTCCCGCCTTGCCGCCTTTCCCGCC